GCGATGCCCACTTTGCGCACTACGCTGCACGTGCATCGCGCCCCCCCACCGACAGCACCGCCTCAATTCCAGTTTGCAGTCCCATATTGAAGATATCTAACCCAATGGGGGACAAATGAACACCATCCCGTCTCATTACATCATCATTAACCCCTTCCAACTCGAAGTGCCTAACAAGTATACCCCCCAGGTGGCGCACAAACCGGGACATGGTCATATTGACCTTACGCTTGCAGACCGGGCGCGGAACGATCTCGGACCAGACGAGGATCAGGTCCCGGAACAACGCAAAACAGCGGGCCACGTCATGCCGCATCGCACGAACCAGGTCCACCGACCGTCGCCGTCCGACATCGTTCCCGCCCGCGTGAACCACCAAGGTCACAGGCCCTGACACGCAGCACCAGAGCTGCACCAGCTGGGCGTATAACCCGTCCCATGACAATCCCCCTCCAATGTACCCGTGCTACCTTGTACGATAAACCGAGGTTGCGGCCATAGGGTCTAGTCTCAGCATGCCGGGCAGCCCAATAAACAAAGGAGTGTCCCACGATCCAGACAAATCGAGGAGAAGGACCTACAACGAAAATAACATACAACCATAACTGCTGCGCCGCTAGCCTACAACAAATGGGGGCGCACGTAGAGCTGGAACCGACCCGACTGCCAGCGCCCCAAATGCCCAGCTGACTAGCCTGCGTGGCAGCCCCGATTCGAAATGAGTGCGTGGTGTACAAACCTGGAGACATCCCAATACTGACAACCCTTGCATGAAGTAACCTGGCGAATTGAAACCGGCTGAGTGATGACCCATCCCGGTGCCGCAACAGGGACCCCGCTTCCGATCCTCGTACCTCCAAGAACTCCCGCAGCAACCTAACCGGGCAAAACCGCTCATCGGTAGCCTGAATCCGAACCGACGCGCCCTCTCCTGACTGATCCGTCTTAGACGTTCGAATGAGCAACATCACGTCGCCCATCGAAACCCTGATATCAGAGATTTGCATGGCAGCCAGCGCCCGTGTACTTGGAGCCACCAGCTCGCCTATACGAAGGACCGCAAAGAAGCAGAGAGCTGTACCTACCCAGAAATGAACTCCAAACTTGCAGATCCTCTCGATGCTGGTGAGTGATCCGAATGAAGTGAAACGGCTGCTTGACTCCGACCGTCGACAATGACAAGCGACGGCAAAAAGCCCTGCCCATCGGCAATACCCGACAGGCAAAGTTCCGATGCCCTAACAAGGCCTGTAGCTGTCGGAGCTGTACTTTTTTGGCCCCTTTCACTGAATCCACCAGCCGCAACAGGTGAGTTAGTTTCTCGTCCGGCAAAAGGAAATCCATGCTCCGAGTGTCCACTTGAATACCCAAGTAGGACAAGATTCCCACTGGCCCTACCGTCTTCTCTTCCGTTATTGGAACACCAAAATCCGCCGCAACGGCTCAAAAGGAATCTAAGAGCACCACGCAGTCATCCGACTCCCGTGGGCCCACAAACAGGAAATCGTAATGAGTTATTGACTCTAGCCCTGCAATCCGAGTGACCACCCATTCCAAAAACAACGCAAACATTTCAAAATAAGAACAAGAGATAGCGCAGCCCATTGGCAAACACATTTTAAAGAAAAAGGAACCTTGGAACCGACAACCCAACAGGTGAAAACAGTCCAGGTGGACTGGGAGCAGTCGAAAAGCTGACTCGATGTCCGACTTAGCCAACAGAGCTCCCCTCCCTGCCTCCCGGACCAACTCTAAAGCCCGATCAAAAGAGGCGTAGCGAACGTGTGACTCTTCCTTGTCAATGTCATCATTCACCGACCCGCCCGATGGGTAGGACAGGTGGTGAATGAGTCGAAAAGATCCCGGCTCCTTCTTAGGAACCAACCCCAGCGGGGATACCCGCAAATTGGGAAATGGCGGCGTGTCAAGTGGACCGGCCATCCCGCCCAAACAAACTTCCTTCCACAACTTATCCTCTAGCATAGCCTCTTTTCCCACAACTGAAAGCAGGTTGTCCGCCAACGAAGGGGAATCTGAATAAACAAATGGAATCCAAAACCCTGTCGAAAACCCCTCCAGCAGAACCCCTGCATCCTTACGCTTGGGATACCGGTCGAGCCAAGGGCGCATCCTTAGCACGCTCACCGGCATCCTCAGCTCTAGGGAGATCCTCCCTATTGGGTCTCCCGCCTTGCTTGCCCTTCTTGAAGCATCGCAGTGCAGGGTGGGCCCCTCCACAATGAGAGCACTCGTGCTTGAATCGGCATGATCCAAACCACTTGCAATGGCTCTCATTGTAGAGCCAGCAGACTTCCTTGCGCTGCCCAGCCCGCGCACTGGACGGTGCACCGGCTGCTCCCGGAAAGGGGGATGGATGACTGGGGGTCATCAGCAAGAGCCAAAGGCTCCCCTCCTGGACCCCAAAGTCCATACCTGAACACACCGCCATCTTCTGGCGAAATTGTTGGTCATAACGAAACGAACATTGTCCCCCATAAACCTTGTACGCCCCCCATATAAGGTCTAAATACCCAAATAACGCAGGTGCCTTCTCAGGAAAGGCCCGCGTCAGCACACTTGCGAATATGGAGAACCCTTGAAGCCAGTTCCCAAACGTACATGGCAGCTGCTTACCTCTGTCGCCGTCTGCCGAATTCCCCCGCCACGGTCTATCCACTAACACCCGGTATTCACCCTTGATAATTTTTTCTTTAACGTCCAGCGCCACATGCATCCCCAGTGGGGACAGCTCACAACCTGGCAAGCATCCCTGCGCCCTACCTGACCTGGCATTCAACTGACCCCTATCCTGGTCATGGGCCTGTGCAGGGAGAGTAACTGATACTGGAGACACCAAGGGCCCCCCCCACCCCGGGAGCCTATCTAACACAGCCCTAAGTAACTCCAGTACTTCCTGACCCATTAACCCACTACCTACGCTATCCCCAGCTAGTGCATCCCAAGCGCTGGCGCAGCACTTACCGCTGGCTGGCTGAGGATGCCGGGCATCACCTTCCTCCGAACAGGAACTGGATCCTGATGACAGGGGTGATCCACGGCCGGCCTCCTGGCCCGATCGCAATCTGCTTTCCAGAGTGCTGAAGCTTGCACTCCTGTGGCCTCTCCTCCTTCCGGGTGCCCTCTGGGCGCTCTTTGCGTGGTTCCCGGCTCACTTCCGGCCTGAGCCACGCGGAACGCAAGGCCTGTGACGGCCTCGCTCTCCTGCGTGTTGCCGTCACGTACGCGCCTTGCGTGCTGACTTTGCTTCCGGCCGTGCCCACGTGACGCAGCGAGCGTGCCGACGTGACTTCCATGTGGGCCAGAAGAGAAGCGCGTGGGGAGTTCCGCCGCCATCTTGGGCCTGGACACCCCCGCCATCATCCGAACGGATCCTCCTCCTCCCGGGTACCGCAAGCCGATCCTGTTGCCCGGCCGAGCCGCCACTTCTCCCCCTGGCACCGAACAGGACTTGGAGAAAGACGCGACGGAGGCCTTTATCTCCTGGCCCTCCGTCCATCTCAGGCTGCAGGCTGACCGGACGTCTCAGTATGGGTAACACTGCGGACTCCCAACATCAGCTCTCCCAGGGCTCACTGTCTGTGCACCTCAAGGTACACCTGCAGAAGCCTCCGCAACTCCGCTCCAGAGGCTGTCATGACCATCAAAAATCGGCAGAAACAGGTATGGTGACCAGCAGAAGTCAGCAGGAAACAGGGAAGGGAGCACAGTACAGTCAATATAGGAAGTAAAAAATACTAATTGTGATGTTTGTCTTACAGGGACAAAAAAAACAGTCAGGAGCCCTAACTGATCCTGCTGACTGGTAAGTCCCCTCCCTCTCCTTTTCCTTAAGAACCACAAATGTATCAACCTTAACCCAGCCCACAATCTTGGGCAGCAGTCATGCTCCCCCTTCCTTATTGTACCAGGGGGAAACTCTTGTGACTGCCATCCTCTCCAGCATGGAGATTGCTCCGAAAATATTATCTGGAGCTGAGGAGAAGCCCAGAATGAAAAACCTTTTCCTATTTTATTACTGGGGCCGATCACAGTGCGTTTCACTGGCTGAGCTGCTGGTTGGTGGGGATCTAAACAAGTAATGACCACAGACTGTTAGATATCTTACAAAGACGTATTCATTCATACTTTACTAATACAAAAAAAATCATAGATTTCCAAAAAGTTATTTCAGATTAATTAATTAATTTATTATTTATTGTCAGCATCAGATTCTGTAGTCTCTTGTGCGCACCCACCATACAAGTACCTGTATGGACGCAATAAAAATAATCAGTCTATACGCCAAAAAACGTAAACTGTTAAAGACCTGTTTTGTTTTGGGGTTTTTTTTAACATTGTTTCAGACATTACATTAGTGTGAAATTAAAACTAAATTGTAAAATTGATGCATTAAAAAAATAAAAAAGAGATTCCCCAACTTTATCGTTTTATCGTAAACTTTGCAAACTTTCCGTACAATTCAGTGTTTGGGGAATAAAGCTCCCCGTTAGTTTATTCCTTAGCGTCCATATGACACGTGGCGTGTTCTGAGATTGGAGTTTTCTTTTTTCACGGAGTGTTTGTGAAG